AAGCAACTTGGAGGGAAATTGGAACTAGATGATCTTTAAGGTTCCTTCCACCAAAACCAGTCTGTGTTTCTATGAACTTGGTCCCTTTTGTACACAAAAATTGGGATCCCCTTGTAGCCAGAGCCGCCCTCTGATCCCTGCCTGACACTAGAGATTCTCACCACAGCATCATTCTCCCAAGGTTTCTCCCAATGAAAACCCATTCTAGTGAGGATGAGGAACTGAGAGGGACACTGCAGCTCCCCAGCAGCACCCCAGCTCCCAGCAAGTAGCACCCCAGCTCCCAACGTACCTTCAAAAGTCCTTCTTGGGCTCTCTGGTGGTGAGAGCAGAGGGCAGAGAGCACCAACTGGCCATGGAGAGTGGAGTGTGATTTAGGGGACACTAAATGCTTATTCTCCCTGATCCTATCATAGCACTATAAATAGGGGCACGGGAGCTGCTGGTCTCAGAAGAAGCACAGAAGGGAGGAGCGTGGATCCCAGTGTGACCTTATCAGAGCACGGGGGGATTAAACCAGTGTCTTGGCAGGAGGATGTGGCTTCCCCTCGCCTAGAAACCTCCTTTCCCACCCCAGAGATGAATTTCCAGGAGAAAGCAGGGTCATTCAGCTGCTCTATCCCAGCAGTTTTGGGGACAGAACTTCCCAACCTGGCCACAGACATGAGCTCCAGGCAGAGTGCAGGCATCATTTATATTATATATTTTATACTTCATATTTTATACATTTTTTTTACATTTTATTTTATATTTTTTATTTTATTTATCCGAGGGCTTCCTCTTTGCTTTCACAAGGTGACACTGGCCCAGGCTGCCCAGAGATGTCTCTTCCCTGGAAGTGTTCAAGGCCATGCTGGATGGAGTTTGGAGCAACCTGATGTAGTGGCAAGTGTCCCTGTCCATGGGAGTTGGGACTGGATGATCTTTAAGGTCCCTTCCAACCCAAACCAGTCTGGGATTTGATGATTCTATTGTTATTTTATACCTAATAATTGATTATTTATGTTAGTGTTGGGAGCTAATTCAGATCACTGCAAACCTAAGACATTGGGGTAGGTAGAGTTGAGCTAGTTTGTCCTTTCCTTCAGGAGATCAAGGCAGGGGCAGAGATGGATAGTTAACCTGGAAGTCCCTTCACTCCACTGGGCAGGAACAAGAAATCTAAAAGTACTGGATTTTTTTACATTTCTCCCTCAAAGAGAGACCACACCAGAACTGGTAGGTTGTCTGCACACTGAGGGTGTGTGAACAGTTGAGGGCTGGCCACAGGCTTCTGGAGTAGAAGAGAGGCTGCAGCACCTGGCCATTGGTGGTGAGGACCTTATCTCAATGGGGAGCTGATGGAGTGTGATTTGGGATGGAGTGGAAGAGCAGGAGTTGCGTCCCCGTGGAAATGTGTATTCCTGCATTTGAATCATCAAATCATAGAATGGCTTGGGTGAGAAGGAGCCTTTCAAGGCCACCTAGTCCAACCCCCTGCAGTGAGTGAGCAGTCACACCTTCAACTAGATCAGGTTGCTCAGAGCCCCTTCCAACCTGACCTGGAATCTTTCCAGGGATGGGGCATCTCCCATCTCTCTGGGCAACCTGGGCCAGTGTCTCACCACCCTCAGCATAAACAAAAAATTACTTATCTCCTAAAATTATCTCCTAAATCTCCCCTCTTTTATTTTCAAACCATCACCCTTTGTTCTATCATTTGGGAGGAAGCAGAAAACAATGTGTCTGTGGCAAGAGAGGGTGGTGGTGGCACAAGCTTCATGGTGCACACTGGGGAGATGGATGTTCAAAAGCAGCTGCTCCCAGCAAGGTGGTGTAATCTGCACCTCTGCCTTTGGAAAGAGTTGTCCAAGGGTTACCTGCAGCTCAGTGTTGGCTTCAATTAATCCCAGACCACTGCAGGGGTTGGAGCTGATGTTCCCCCAGGAAGGACACTAAAGATGGGCAGACCAAACACGGAGCACTCAACCTTGAGTCTTTCAGAACTGTTATCTCTATTAGCATCACCCAGGCTCTCTAATTGAATCCTCCCCCCTTCCCCTCTCCCCTCCTCACTAAATGCTCCCCGAACAACTCAGACATCAATGGGAGGCAGAAGAAGTGGCCACCCTTTGTCTCCCTGAAGAGGCAGCTTTGCATCCAGCCCCTCTGGGGCAGCTGGTGGGGAGCTGCTGGAGGAGGCCATTGTCACATCTGCCTTTGTTGAAGGATCAGCCTTGAGCTCAAAGGCCACTCGAGGGGTGGTTGAACAATATGTACTTTTGCCTTGCCCATGTGGTGCTCAGCGCTCTGCCTCTGACGCGAATGATCCGGGTGAGGGTTGTTGGTTTGGGTGTCCTTTGTTGTTTGTTGTTTGTTTTGTTTTTTCCTCCAAGAATAATGGGTAGAAGGGAATGAAAGGGAAAGGGGCTGGAGGCGGGGAGGCCAGATCCATTTAGGAGCCCAAACATTCAGAAGCAGAGTGCCTCCTGAGTGGTTGCACAAATGGCCTGGCTGTACCTGGCTCCAGCCCTCCTCTCCCCTGTCAGCTCCAGCCATGAAAAGGAGGAACCAGAACTGTAGAGCCTCAGTGAAAGGTGGGGATAATGGATTTCATTATAGACAGGCAAGTTAAATGTCTCTCCACTCGTGTGCAATAAAGAAAAGATGGTCTTTATCTAATTGCCCTGGAGGAGCTCTTGGCTGGGATTCAAGAGCGAGATGTTCCCTTTGGTCCCCTGCCCCTATCTCTTCCCAGTACCACCCCATAAAGAGCCAGTTCTGGGGTGCAATTCATCTTATAGCCATGCTGGTGTCTACCACCACATCCTTTTTTATTCCACTGCCCATGGGGTGGCTCAGAACAAGTCTGGAGAGTAAATGTCTCCATCCGACCCGAGGAACAACTCCTTGCGTGGTGGTGTTCACTGGGATCCAGCACTGGGATCCAGATGAAAGAGAAGTGTCAGCACCAAAAGGTCTTCATGCCAACCATATCCAAATGGACCACCTCCATTCCCTACAAGGACCTTTTTCTGGCTCCCCTTGCCCCCGCCACATTTTGCCATCCTCTGCCCATGGTGTCCCTTCACATGGCACTTCTCTTGTTGCCCCTCACGGCAGAGTTTTGTAGGCTGATCTCAGGGTCGTTCTCCCCAGGCTGGCTGCCTGCCTGGCTGGCACAGCTCCAGGGGGGAGGCTTCAGCCTCTTTTTTTCTCTTCCAGAAGTGGCTGTGGAAGCAAAGCAGGGCCACACTTGAAAAAGAGGCAAGAGTGGCTTGGCTGGAGGCAACACACACCTAAAATGTTGATTTTTGGAGCAATCCAGACCCCTGTTCCAGCAAGATGAGGTGTCCTCAGGACGTCCTCCTGGCTGAGAGGAGTTGGGATGATCTGCTTCATGCCTGGGTTGGTTGCTCTCCATTCATCAGTGTGTGTGAGTTTGGGGCAAGCTCTGCTCACATGGGCAGCTTGAGCAAGTCAAGGGTGGGCTAGTGAGACAACTGGGCTTTCAGTCATTCTGCCTAATCCCACAGCTAAACCCAGATGTCATCCTTCCCAGGGGAAGAGAGACTGAATCTGCTGGGCTGGATCCAGTCATGA